CTCATTTCGGAAAGTCAAAATAGTGACGAGGTCACATTTCGGATGATCAAAATAGTGACGGGCTCTCATTTCGGAAAATCAAAATAGTGACGAGGTCTTATTTCGGATGATCAAAATAGTGACGGGCTCTCATTTCGGAAAATCAAAATAACGACGAGCTTTCATTTCGGATGATCAAAATAGTGACGGGTTCTCATTTCTGATTATTAAATACCGACGGGTTCTCATTTCGGATGATCAAAATAGCGACGGGCTCTCATTTCGGATGATCAAAATATGGCAACTCTACTTCATGCTGATTCACCAGGTCAGATATTTCCTGACAAGGAATGTCCTATAACTGACGGCTTGCAGAAACATTCCTGATGCCACCTGCAGATATCTCAACGCTTGTTAGCGAATATTTTCTCTGTGATATCCCAGGCCACCAGTCTGTCCTTCCACCTCTTCCACATCCACATGTGGAAGCGTTCAACGCCACGCGTGTCCTGTCAACGCCTGCCCTCTAATTGTCACAATAAAGCGCTCACCAGCTCCAGATTGGTCTAGATAAAATTTCAGGGCGCGGGCGCATTAATTTGCCGGATGTTTGAGTTTTCTGTGAAACAAGTGTTCGTTCGCGTAGAAAAGTTTACCTGCGTTTGCTTGTAGGGTTGCCCTGTTTGTTGCAGCATGGTGGCGGGACGCGAATTTATCGAAACTAAGCAGAGGTCTTGCAAGATCATTGCCAAAATAGTGATCTTCCTACGCCGAATTAGGGCATCTGGCTCATAACAATCCTTATTTTCAGTATATTGGCACTGAATAAACCGGCTCTCGGCAGACTTTAAACTAATCAAAGTCCAGTTCACGTTTTCCGGCCCATCTACACACTGGGTGACCTTTCATTCTTACTTTCACAGACTCTTCTACGTCGGAGGAGTGTCACGTTGTTTTGCCTCTAATCATATCAGCCCTGATGTCGCATGTTTTATACTAGACGACGACACGGCTTTTAAGGACCACAGCCCTAAGGCTAAGAAAGTGTGTAGATGGGCTGGGAAACATGAACAGGCACCTAATCGATGTATCCCAAGCACCATGTGGATTCCGAAGCCCGTTGGGGACGGATAGGGAAGGTATCAGGAAAGAATTGACCCACTTTTCCCTAACACGAATATCGTAAACGGTGAGTAATTGGGAAATCCTGAAAATGTATATGTTGAGCCAAAAAGGCACATAAATCGCAGTCTAAGTGTAAACCGCATTACAAGGTGGCAACCTCCTATGTTAGGGCGGAAAGAAGAGGAAGAAGACGAAGAAGAAGAAGAAGAAGAAGAAGAAGAAGAAGAAGAAGAAGAAGAAGAAGAAGAAGAAGAAGAAGAAGAAGAAGAAGAAGAAGAAGAAAGAAGAAGAAGAAGAAGAAGAAGAAGAAGAAGAAGAAGAAGAAGAAGAAGAAGAAGAAGAAGAAGAAGAAGAAGAAGAAGAAGAAGAAGAAGAAGAAGAAGAAAAAGAAGAAGAAGAAAAAGGAGAAGAAGGAGGAGGAAGAGAAGAAGAAGTGCATCAGTGAATGAATCCATGTATGGGTAATTTCTAGCTCTAAATGATGTTATCATTAGGAAACCTCCTATAGAATTATTTAATAGCAAACTGCGGAACGTAACTGTATTGTAAAACAATAGCCGACGGATGATTATGTTGGTTTGTGACGTCGTACAAAGTATACATAACTAATAGTCCAGCGTTGATAATGACGCTTCAGAAGATGAAGCCATAACCAAAATATTGAGCACAAGACAACAAACTCCAGAGCTATCAGGACGGTATCTCCCATTCAATCCTTACTGCACAAAATTAGAGATGCTAAAGCTAGAGCTCAGGAACAATTTATAGAAGTTAATAAGTAAGTTAGGAGGCTAATAACGGCAGATAAAAGGAATGAAATATCACAAGCAGAGACAGCAGCAGCGAGAGGAAACTTTAGAGACCTTTACAGTAACACAAAGAAATTAGTAGGTAAACACAGTCGGAACTGGATCAGAGATAGTCAAGAAAAGTTACTCATAAACACTAAAGATTGAATGGACAGATGCGCTAAATATTTTGAAATACTTCTAAATAGACCACCATCAGAGGTTCCTCCAGATACCCAGCCTTTCTAGAAATGGAACAGGATACCAGCTGTGACATACCATCTAAAGAGAACATTAGAAAAACTACCAATCTTCTGAAAGCAAGAAAGGCGGCAGGTCCAGATAGTATCCCAGCAGAAGTTATTCGGGCCGAACTCAACGACTTTATTTAGTAAAGTCTGGAAGACCGAAGAATTTCTAGCAGACTAAGGAGAGTGATATCCTGTGAAACTGCACACACACACAAAGGTGATCTACAAGAGTGGGGGAACTATAGAGGAAATATGTTGCCCCCAGGTTCCTGGATATATAAAAGTATGATTATTTTAGAGACGAAACCATTCTGCTGATAAAAAGCTAAGAGATGAACAGGCAGCTTTTCGGTCAAACAGATCCTGTACTGGCCAGACAGCCGCATTATGTATAACAATAGAGCGAAACATTGAACTGAACTTACTCCTTTACATTGAATTCATAGACTATGAAGAAGCTTTTCACAGCATTTATAGGGGATATCTCTGGAAATTAATGGGGCACAATGGAATACCACAGAAGGTTATCAACTTAGTAAAGACAACATTGCCTAGGATGAAAGGAAGAGGAAGGCCAAAGAAAAGATGGGTGCAGGATGTAGCAGATGATCTCTAGATCGGTGTATCAGACGCGGAAAATCTTGCTTGTTAACCAGAAGTTTTCCAGAGGGTTGTTGTGGGAGCGAGGTTCTGCAAAGGACATGCTACTGACTGACTGACTGACTTATGTAAACTGCTTTTCACTTTTCGCCTGCCCACTAAGTGCGTTGTGTTGAACATCACGCCTGTTTGCCAGCTACCTATGTCTACCAGTCATCGATTTAACTGGCCTTCCCATCTGGGGGGTCTCTTGTCGGTTTGTCTATATGTTCGTGTGTCAGTCACACGCACACAATATATATATATACATATATATATATATATATATATATATATATATATATATATATATATATATATATATATATATATATATATATACACACACATATATATAATCCTCAGCGCGCTGGGAGGTACATAAGCCAGAGACAAACTGTTACCATACAATTCGATCCTGAGCCATCCTATCTATCTCCAGTTATGTCCTTTGCGTAGTCTTGAGTTCAGCTTCAAAATTTCGAGTAAAAAATCTACCCAAAGTATTTTAGGATCCTTGCCAGTGCTACGGAGTTCATGCACTGTGCTGAGAATCTTCCGACTCGGATCTGAGTTAGAAGTAGAACGGAGCACTTATGGGTTGCTACCCTTGCGCCATAAAGTTGATACTTTGTTTAAACCTAAACCAAACGCTCCGTTCTACTTCTAACTCAGATCCGAGTCGGAAGATTCTATTTAAGAAGCACTGTAACTCTGAAAGTAGAGCAACGCCAAATGTCGAAGAGCCGTAACGCATATATATATATATGCGTGTGTGTCTAAGTGGATTAGGAATTGCGCTTCGGCCTTGACGGTCGAGGCTTCATTATTGGATGATGGTGTCGTTCTTCTTCTTATTCTTTCCATTCCTCGGCTGTAAATTCCAGCTGAAAGTTCTGGTTGTTCGTCCACTTCTGGATTTGGTCTTTTTTCCAGAATTTGTGTTTTACGTGCACAACCATTTGACAGATCTGGCTTATTTGTATGCAGACTGTTGGTTCGTCGCCTCTCAGGCAGATGAACTTTGACATTGAAGGAAACATCCCTAATTAGTCTCATTTCATGACATGATTTTAGTTAAAAAAAAGAGAAGAAAACAGCGACTCGTGGTACCAACACTGGGATGGATGTCGCCAACAAAAAAAATATTGCAAATTTGAACTGAGTTCCCTGAGGGTCGTCGATGAAGCTACAGAGTACATACTTCTTGCTCTCCGTAAACGACTGGTTGTTCTGAGAGGAGATACTTATCCATACTGGATAATAAAAACCAAAAAAAAAAAAAAAAAAAAAAAAAATTGCAAATTTGAACTGAGTTCCCTGAGGGTCGTCGATGAAGCTACAGAGTACATACTTCTTGCTCTCCGTAAACGACTGGTTGTTCTGAGAGGAGATACTTATCCATACTGGATAATAAAAACCAAAAAAAAAAAAAAAAAAAAAAAAAATTGCAAATTTGAACTGAGTTCCCTGAGGGTCGTCGATGAAGCTACAGAGTACATACTTCTTGCTCTCCGTAAACGACTGGTTGTTCTGAGAGGAGATACTTATCCATACTGGATAATAAAAACCAAAAAAAAAAAAAATTGCAAATTTGAACTGAGTTCCCTGAGGGTCGTCGATGAAGCTACAGAGTACATACTTCTTGCTCTCCGTAAACGACTGGTTGTTCTGAGAGGAGATACTTATCCATACTGGATAATAAAAACCAAAAAAAAAAAAAAAAAAATTGCAAATTTGAACTGAGTTCCCTGAGGGTCGTCGATGAAGCTACAGAGTACATACTTCTTGCTCTCCGTAAACGACTGGTTGTTCTGAGAGGAGATACTTATCCATACTGGATAATAAAAACCAAAGCAATGAAGTAGATTCTTTGAACTTTCAAATTAATTATCTTTTTATTCCGTCCACACCCAAAAGATGGGGCCGTGGTGGTGTAGGGGCTAGAAGCTTGCCTGCGAGTCCGAACGTCATGAGTTCTAATCCGAACGGTGCCGGCCTGTTTTCAAAAATTACCTTAGCGTCCAGGTTTACGCAATTTTGATAAGGTACCCGGTAAAGTGCCGAGAAGTAAAGGCGACCGGTGTGATTCTGACTACATCACCAAACGCGTGGCGTTTGGTCTATGAAATATAAGTCTAACAGTATATGCCCAATGCGCCCTGAAGGCGGGGAAAAAGGTTTTACTTTCAGCACAAAAGACGGAAAAAAGACCGACCTGCCCCAAAAGCGAAGAAGAAACTAGTGTCGGGATGCTGCTGCAGGAGATAGGCCACTCTTTCTGCCATCCGGGCGTTCCTCTTGTCGATGAGCTCATGTTGGAAATACTGCTCTATCATCAGCGCCTGATGCAGCTCTTGCGGGGGCAAGGACGAGTTGACCAGCGCTGGAACCTGAGTCGTATCCCTGAGAGTAAAGAATTTATACAGTGCATTAGAATAACAACAGATGCAAATGCTGCTGTCGCCGCCATCACCACCATGCAACTTCCACTGCTATAAATGCTCATTCTGCTGCTGCTGCTACTACTACCAGCAGAACTAATAAATCTACTACGATTTCCTCTTCTTTTCTTCTTCTTCTTCTTCTTCTTCTTCTTCTTCTTCTTCTTCTTCTTCTTCTTCTTCTTCTTCTTCTTCTTCTTCTTCTTCTTCTTCTTCTTCTTCTTCTTCTTCTTCTTCTTCTTCCTTTTCTTCTTCTTCGTTTTCTTCTTCTTCTTCTTCTTCTTCTTCTTCTTCTTCTTCTTCTTCTTCTTCTTCTTCTTCTTCTTCTTCTTCTTCTTCTTCTTCTTCTTCTTCTTCTTCTTCATCCTAATCCTCCTGTACTTCTTCCGCATATTTTCGTCTGCTCTTTCTTCCCCCAGTGGATGACAGGGCTTTCTCACTTCAAGTTGTCCTATGTTTCGTCTTCGCTAGCTCTCTGCACCCTCATTCTATCCTTAGTGTTTATCTCTAATTTTTAACCCCATTTGTTGTACGCCATCTCTATTTCTTGTAGCTATTTTTTTTACACAATTGTTCCAGATAATGATATTTTTCAACGAATACCTTTAACCAGGGCTAAATTTATTTTGGGGGTACACAATAAAGGCACCGTAGCAATTTCTCCCATCGTTGCTGTAATAGACACATTGTGGTGTGTTCTCTGTCTTAAGCCAAGCTGTTCGGCATTGGCAGTCATGCGCATTACCACCATTCTGTCTCGTGTACTTTCACTCCTTTCTGACACAGATACTCTTCAGTGCCATGATGTCAAACCGTTCAGCATCTTCTCTGTTAGTCATCCTCTGCCTCTTTTCCCTTCAAACTTTCCCAACTGTCATGATGTACTCCATTTTCCGGTACTTTATTAATTTCTTACCAAAAACAGTGAAAATCCACAGGTCACGGATTAGTCTAAAATTTCAGGGGGTGGAAGATAGGCTGCATGCAGTCGTGGGACAGCCTGCATTCAGTTTTTTACCCAGGATGCACTCTCTCGTGGGACGTAGGTGGGCTGGGGTTAGGGTCAGCTAGAGATGTTTTAGGGTCTTTAAAAGCGTCAAAAAGCCAGGAAACCTAGTCTTACCACCCTTCAAAATGTTGGAGTGTCCTGTGACGTCGTCTGGGGTAGGATAATAATAAAGCACCTAATTTTCCCCTTATCGTGACATGACCTTCTTCTTCTTCTTCTTCTTCTTCTCTGCGTTCGGTTTCGTAAGCTCAGATCAGACCATCAGGTGGGTTGCCTCTGTAAACTCGTATGTCAGTAGCAGGTCCTTCATGGTTCCCCATAGCTTGCTCTGCACACTTTGCTTTTGAGGCCAGGTGTCTTTTCGAAGTTGTAGGTAGAATAAGCAGGTCTGCAGAATGTGCTCATGTGTTTCTGGTCTTGTTTGACAGGCACACTTTGGGGGCTGTACAATCTTTATTTTATGCATTTGGTAGTTGAGCCTGCAGGGTCCTGTTCGTAGACGGAAACGGGACACTGCAGGCTCAACTATCTTCTTCTTCTTCTTCTTAACTTCCTCTTTTACCGCTGTGGTTGTCGAGGGAGATATAAGGTTCTGTTTCTAGCTCTTCTGGCCGCCTCGACCATAGGCACATCGTGCTGTTGTAGAGTTTCTCTGATGTTATCCTTCCATATTGTTCTTGGTCTACCTCGTGCTCTACGTCCTTCTTCTCTTTCCATGTATGCTTTGTATGGTATGGTGTCAACTATCACATACATAAAATATGATCAAAGATTATACACTGTCTCTTTTGATGTGGGTAATAAGTTCTGTTAGTGAGTTAACTTCTTTCAAGATATCTTCATTACTCTTCTTATCTTTCCATGGTAGACTCTTCATTGGTCAAGAACACCAAATATCTGCAGATTGCACATACTTTCTTTTTAAAAACTAAACGACCCGATGTACATGATTCACTTCCGTATGATCCCCGTGTAGGTTCCGGGGCCCAGTTATGGTGAAACCAAGAGTAGACCCACTGCCTGCGTAAAATCATGTCGTAAGAGTCGACTAATTAGAGCCTCCTTCAAAAAATGAGTCAGACCTGTGAAACGGAAGTACACGCAACACTCAGGTTCTGGAACAGGACTAGAGTTCAGAAGTGGATGAACAACCAGAACTTTCCGGCTGAGCTTACAGCCAGTGAACGCGTAGAAGAAGAAGACTTCCGTAGTGTATATATATATATATATATATATATATATATATATATATATATATATATATATATATATATATATATATATATTTATATATATATATATATATATATATATATATATATATATATATATATATAAAACTGGTAAATCGTGTGCTTAACATAATGGGGTTTATATTACCACAGCTATAACGTGAAATACGATAAATGGTAGATTGTACCTGCTGAACAAAAGGGGGTTTATAGTACCACAGTAATAACGCAATAACGTGAAATACGATAACTGGTAGGTCGTACCTGCTGAACATAAGCGAGTTAAGATCGCCACAGTTGTAATGCTGAATCAAAGCGTCGCTACCGCAGAGTGGCGGGGAGGCTTGGTCTCTGAGACTTTCGTGCTGTGACAAGGTCTGGTTGAGAGCGAACAATACCTGCAAGACAGAATCCACATCATTAAGACAAATGTAACTGAAAGCTAATGATATGCCCTTTAGGCACTGTAATCCCGGCCCAGCATATGTAAGCGGTTTGTGGTTTTTCTTTTAGTAGAAAATAAGCTGGGGGCTGCGTGGTTTCGAGGTATGGTGTCCGCCTCGAGTGCTGGAGGTTTCGGGTTCAATCCCCGGTAGGAGCTGGGATTTTTTTCTGCTGGACTTGAACTTCTAGTATTTCCCCCTGGTCGCTGGGTAGTGAGATCGGACGCCCCTGGGCATTGTTGGCAGTTGGAAATCGAAAAGAGTAGCCTAATGGCTTTGCGCAGGCAAACGTTTGGAGTTAAAAATCTACCCAAAGTATTTCAGGATCCTCGCCGGTGCTACAGAGCGTTCTTCGGACCCAGACTCGAGTTAGACGAAGAACAGAGCACTTATGGGTTACTACCCGTGTGCCATGATGTTGATCCGTTGTTCAAACCTCAAACCTCTAGAAAATAAGCGACTACAGATCGAAATCCAGTGAATAATGATACACCTTGTACTAGATGCATCGAGAAACAACAGATCAAGTGGTTTGGCCATATCAGAATGTAGCAAGATCAAATACCATAAGAAACACTACATCTCAGACGATCAGCTACAAGAGCAAGAGGACGGCCACGAAACCATAGATCGACAACCTTTAAGACACTCCACGCCTTTACAGCATGATAATAGCCAGTGGCAGCCAGCGTGTACTGGATCGCAGATTATTCCTTCGTACGGCGCTTGACGGCAAAAGTGGTTTATGATAATGATGGATCAAGTAAATACATTATTAGCGCCACATATTATGAGCGTTTTTTTCGCGCTCAAAAGTAAAACTGTGTTTTCAATTTTGGCAGTGAACGGGACAGATTATCAACATTTAGTAATTTGCTTTGTATAGACCAAGTCAGTACGTTACCAGCGCCTGGCATACTTCAGCAAACACACACCCCGGGATAGTTTTACAAACAGACATTAACGTCAGCAGTGTTTTGCCTCAACCAACCAGGATTCGAGTGGGATGGTGGCCACTAACAAAAACATATTTCTGAGGAGATCAAAGACTCCGACTGACAGGTGAAGAGTTAGTGACGGCTTCTGCCTATCCGTTTATTTACTCCCGCTATGTGAGGGAACGAAAGGTAAGAGGGCACGGTATCAACGGCTGTTTGAAACACGTCTGTGGGAAAAGAGGGTACTTCAATTAAATACGACCACATCTCGTCGGCGTCGAGATTTGGTTGGGAAATCCCTAGAACGTACCATATTATGGGGAAGGTGTAAAAAAGCGGGGGTGGGGGGGGGGGGGGATGTGTCAGAATGGGCTTGCTTAGTGGTAATCTCTATTCATTTAACACGAGCCCTAACACACCCCCCCCCCTTTTCCGCCTAATAATAGGGTGCTGTACAAGGAAACCTCTAGGAATCACTAGGGGGTTCCCTACAATATCTCGAAACCGACGAGATGTGGTGGTATAAAATTAAAGTACCAAAAAACCGCAATATTTTGCGTGGTAAGTAATGAAGTCATTACAGTAGCAGTATGTATTTGTATGTGTGTGTGTGTGTGTGTGTCTGCGCGCGTGTGTGTGTGTTTTGTTTCCTTTCACTGTTTGCTGACGAAGGTCAGTGGCCGCAACGTCCTCTGTTAGTTCATTTTATTTGGTTTTGTAGAGTTAAATATAATTCATGTTTTTCTCACCCTTTCCTACCTCTTCGGGAGCCGCAGTGGTGTAGCGGCTAGACTCTCGCCTGCGAATTCGAAGGTCGTGGCTTACGATCTTGACTGAACCGCACCTTTTTATCCAAAATGAATGCAATCTAATAATCTAGACATACAGGGATCAGTTCAACCGCAGGCGATCTTGCAGCGGATCGCACTGCCTATAAATCGACAAACAACGGTGTCAACGACAACTGAATTTAAATTAATTGCAAAGTAAAAAAAAAAAAAAGTAAAAATGTAAAGATTTATTTTCACGCCTTAGGCGCATCGGGCATATAGGAAAAAAATGTTTTTTTACAGACCATTCGGCACAAGGTGGGTAATGTGGTCAGCATTACCGTCTTTACTTCCCCAGGACATACAATCTGGTACCCATTTTAGGGTGTGTTGACCTGTGACGCCCCACACCACGATAAAAATCCACGCGGCCAGCAGTGGGTTTCGATCGCGGTACGTTGAAATTACTAGTCGGACTCGCAACGCCTAAGCCACGAACGCAATGGCAAACTGTTGAACGTGAAATAACCTAGACAAACCACTAACATTAAGTAAATGCTTGGATAGCTACTCTAAGCTCTGATAAGGATATACAGCGAGCAAACTTTAACCCCTTAGGCCTTAGAGGATATAACATATATGATGCCCTATATTATTTAACCGTTGGCTAACAGGATCTATCTCTGTGTGCGATCTGGAGCCCCATTTGGGGAAGAGGGGGTGGGGGAGGGTAAATCTAACGCTCCTCTCACCCTCGCCCTCTTCAATCAACGGAATATGGCCCTCAGCTACCTCAAACCTGGTCCTCCTATCCGAAGACTACCCATAAACAGTTGGAATTGTTAGACTTGACTTCATAGGCACACCTGAAATCTCGCTATCTCTAGCCAATTTTCTAGCCCTGTGTGCTTTCATAGCCAATACATCTTCAGTATCTTGTATCTTGTATCCAGAATCATAGAGGTCCGCTTCTACCTCGTTTTCCTGAAACTGTACCTTCCATCACCGTTCTCTCCAGACCCCCTTGACGTTCAGCATGTCTACAAAACCTCAGCTTTAGAGACAGAATGCGAGATTGATACATCCTATGTTTAGAAAACCAATCTACTTTGTGAAAAACATTTGTGGTTACCCCGGTTGTCCAATGTATGCCCAACGTTAGTCTTAGAAATCCCATCCTCGTGGCCTCCAAGCGCTTCCTAATTATGTAGCTCACATTCGCAAATACTAAACCTGTGCAAATTATTACTGTAAATGAGATTATAATTCACTATAATTCCACTAAATTGTCTGTTATTAAAAGTATACGCGTGCCTTCTAATACACTTTATGTGGACGCTAACAAATGGCATGGTTTGTTACATTTGTCTTCTTTGAGTCTTGAAGTTTCCCAGTTACGGACTTCTTTTATGCGATCAAATATCATTCCGCTGACAATACTGCAATCATTGCTGAATGTGTTATACGGCGCCATATGGTGCATGCAGTCAGGTGAACTTTTTGTGTAATTTCTGTTTCCTTTCTATGTGCTTTTTTTCTTCCAGTCTCTTTGGAATGAGTTGAAGATATTTAGAGCAGGTGCTTATTCTCTGCAGGGATAGTATAAAAAATCAGAACTTCCTGTGTGTGATAATGTATGTAGTACGTGAGGCGGAAGCAAGAGCGAACTATTATCTAGATCTTTTTTAACGGTTGATTATTTTCTGTTGAAACATTTTAATATTTAAAGTTAAATGCCTTGTATTATTTAACTAAACTCTGCGTCGACCGAAGGAGACTCGGTTGCTTCATGGCCAAACGTTTTCCTGTTGAAACATCTCTATCTGCAGTTTTCTGTTTGACTTTGTTCCATTCCAGTCTTCTGTCAGGGACTGTCGGTTGTTTTCTTCCCAGCAAACCCTGGGTTGCCCTGGTGGTCTCGTTTCGGCCTTCCATGCCTGCTATGGTGGCCGATTTTCTCCAAACCGTCTTAACTGTGATTGATCAAGTCGAGTTTGTAAGGCCCGGTTTTTAATAACCTGACTTACTGTCTGACTGTGAACCTTGTCCCTTCTTGTCACTTTGACCACCTTTCTAAGACATCTCTTTTCTGAGACCTGAAGCTGGCTTCTTTGAGATATGGTAATTGCGGATGACTCGCACTGGTAGATCAGGTCTGCGTACTGGGGCCGATTTTTATAACTGGCATAGAGCTGCCAGTCGACCCAGCGTGATATGACTCCCAGAAAATGCAATGGTGAATAAAGGCATGAAACCTGGTGCAGATTGCTTGTTAATATTTGGGTCTGGCAGCATATGAAGAGATGTGTCGACAGTATTCGGTACGCATCCCAAGCGTGGAACATGAAGCGACATTAAACAACACGTTGAGTAAGCTGATGTTTATTATATTGTCTCCTACACAAAAAGCATAAACTTATTTTTTTTTTTGGGGTGGGGGTAGGGGGGGGGGTGGGGATTGACCTCTGATCAACTGTCAACGGGGAAATGACTTGTCCTTCTCCTCCCCTTCCTGATTTTATTTTTCTCTCTTAGCCAATCCATCTAGACGTTGATACGTGCCTGTCGCAGGGCAACAAAAAGCGGTGTGGTTTCACAGTAGTTACACGTGTCATCTCGGGTTTGAACCTGATCTCCAGTGGCAGCACTGTAGGTCCAGTCAGCTGTTTGACCACATTCTTCAGCTGACACATCTCCCAAACCGAGGGTTGCCCCCTCCTTGCAGGGGAAGACAATTAGCTTGGTATTGTACTCCTTCAGCTGTTGTAAGTTGTGCTGGAGGTGTTTCCCAGTAAAGACTTTGTTTGAAATATTAACTTGTGGCTGAAAGCGTCCTTTTGTTCAGGGCTGTCAATGAGATTTTAAAAAAAAATCAAATCCCAAGCTAAGCTGGCCAAAAAAAAAAAAAAAAATAATAAAAAGAAAAAAAGAAACCAGCAATACAAAAGCAAAGAACAGTAAACAAAAACGAAAACCCAAGATTAATAAAAAGTACAAATGTTATAGTTTAGAAACAAAACATTTACCCACTTTCGTATAAGCATATTTTTTTGTAAGAACCCAAGATTCTAAAATCTGAACATAAGGCGTCTAATAAAAACCCAGATATTGGGGTAAAACCCATGATCGGCAGCCCTGCTTTTGGTCTCTTCGTTAAGCGCTTTAGCGCCCATTTTCTTCATACCCTGCCGTTAAGCAGTGCCACAGTAAAATCTCACAGAGAAAGGAATGTCAACGGAATTATGTG